TTTTTTGAGATGGAATTTTCGCTTTTTGTTGCCCTAGGCTAGAGTACAATGAGCGATCCGGCCTCACTGGCACCATCTTTGCCTCCCAGGCTTCAAGCACATTCTCCTGCTCTCAGCCTCCGAGGTTAGCTGGGATTACAGGGGCCAATATCACCGATGCCTGGCTAATTTTTATTATTTTTGAGTAGAGACGGGGTTTCTCCATGTTGGCCAGGCTTGGTCTCGACTACCGACCTCAGGTAATCACCACTCGGGCTAGACATTCTCCCAAGAGATGTACAAGTGGCCAATGAGCCCATGGAAAAGATGGTCAACGTCACTAGCTGTCAGGGAAACCCAAATAAAATCACAACGAGAAACACTTCGTGCCCACTAAGATGGAAAAAATAAAGATAGACAACAGCAAATATTGGCAAAGCAATGGAGAAATTGGAATCCTTATACATTGCTAGTGGGATTGTAAAATGGTGAGGACACTTTGGAAAACAGATCGGCAGTTCTTCAAAATGTTAAACATAGAATTATCATGTGACCTCATTATTTCTACTCCTAGAGAATTGAAACATTTCTACACAAAAACTTGTACAGCAATGCTCATAGCAGCATAATATTATTCATAATAGCTAAGCTTCAGAAACAACCCCAATGTCCATCAACTGATGAATGTGTAAACAAAATGTGGTATATTCATACAGTAGAGTATTTATTCAGCCATAAAAAGGAATGAAGTAGTTATATATACTATAATATATGTGAACCTTGAAACCGGTATGCTAAGTGAAAAAAACCAGGCCCGGTGCAGTGGCTCAGGCCTGGGAGGCTGAGGTGGGCGGATCACCTGAGGTCAAGAGTTAGAGACCAGCCTGGCCAACATGGCAAAACTCCGTCTCTACTAAAAATACAAAAATTAGCCAGGCGTGGTGGAGTGCACCTTTAATCCCAGCTACTCGGGAGGCTGAGGCAGGAGAATCGCTTGAACCTGGGAGGTGGAGGTTGCAGTGAGCCAAGATCACCCCATTGAACTCCAGCCTGGGTGACAAGAGCGAAACTCCGACTCAAAAACAAAAACAAACAAACAAATCAAAAGACAAAACAAAACAAAACAAAAAACAAAAAAGAAAAGAAAAAAGCCAGTCACAAAAGGCCACATATTATATGACTCCGTTTATATGAAATGTCCAGAATAAGCAAATCCATAGAGACAGAAAATAGATTAGTGGTTGCCAGGGGCTTGGGGGTGGAGGAAAGGGAATGAGTGACAAAGGGCATGGGGTTTCTTTCTTCTTTCTTTTTTTTATTTTTGAGATGGAGTCTCACTCTTGTCGCCCAGACTGGAGGGCAGTGGCCGGATGGCTGCTCACTGCAAGCTCCGCCTTCCAGGTTCACGCCATTCTCCTGCCTCAGCCTCCCGAGTAGCTGGGACTACAGGTGCGTGCCAGGACGCCTGGCTAATTTTTTGTGTATTTTTAGTAGAGACAGGATTTCACCGTGTTAGCCAAGATGGTCTCGATCTCCTGACCTTGTGATCCACCCACCTCAGCCTCCCATAGTGCTGGGATCACAGGCGTGAGCCACCGCGCCCGGCCTGTTCTTCCTTTTTCTTTTTCTTTTTGCAATTGTTATTTAGTTTTTATTTCATAATCATAAACTTAACTCTGCAATCCAGCTACGCATGCAAGAGAATAAGGCAAACATGGAACCCAAAGGGAACTGAGAGAGAGAGCACAAAGATTAGAGGCTACTGTGAGCAACTGAGGTGGAGGGTGCTCTCTGGAGCTACAAAAGGAATGATCCGGTGGTGAAGATAAAACACAAGTCAAACTTACTAGAGTTGTCCACAGTCGGCAATGGTGATCTTCTTGCCGGTCTTGCCATTCCTGGACCCAAAGCGCTCCATGGGCTCTGCAATATTCATGCCTTCTTTCACCTTGCCAAGGACCACATGCTTGCCATCCAACCACTCAGTCTTGGCAGTGCAGTTGCAAAACTGGGAACCATTTGTGTTGGGTCCAGCACGTGCCATGGACACGATGCCAGGACCTGTCTGCTTCAGGATGAAGTTCTTATCATCAAATTTCTCCCCGTAGATGGACTTGCCACCAGTGCCATTACAGTGTGTGAAGTCACCACCCTGACACATAAACCCTGGAATAATTCTGTGAAAGCCGAAACCCTTATAACCGAATCCTTTCTCTCCAGTGCTCAGAGCAGGGAAGTTTTCTACTGTCTTTGGAAACTTGTCTGCAAACAGCTCGAAGGAGACGTGGCCCAAGGGCTCCCTGTTGATGGCGATGTCAAAGAACACGGTGGGGTTGACCATGGCTGGGCATATATATACTATAATATATGTGACATGGCATGACGGGGCTCCCGGCAGCATCGGAATCTGTGGTATGGGGTTTCTTTTAGGGGTAGTGAAATGTTCTGACATTAGTAGTGATGGTTGTACAACGCTGAATATTCTAAAAGCCACTCAATTGTATGCTTAAAAAGGGGGGATTTTATGGTATATGAATTATATCTTGATAAAGCTGTGGTTTAAAAAAATATTTCTGGCCGGGTGCGGTGGCTCACACCTGTAATCCCAGCACTTTGGGAGGCCGAGGTGGGCGGATCACGAGGTCAGGAGATCGAGACGTTTCGCTCTTATTGCCCAGGCTAGAGTGCAATGGCGTGATCTCGGCTCCCCGCAACCTCTGCCTCCCAGGTTTCAAGTGATTCTCCTGCCTCAGCCTCCTGAGTAGCTGGAATTACAGGCATGAACGAATCACCACGCCTGGCTAATTTTGTATTTTTAGTAGAGACAGGGTTTCTCCGTGTTGGTCAGGCTGGTCTTGAACTCCTGACCTCAGGTGATCCACCCGCCTCGGCCTCCCAAAGTGCTGGGATTACAGGCCTGAGCCACCGCCGCAGGCTAGGCTTATTGTTTCTCACTGTGCTTTCTAGAGAAACAATGAGTCTTTTCTCTTCAACATGGCCACTGTCCAAGATGAGAGGTAGCAATCATGTCTTTGTTATTTATTTATTTATTTATCATTTTTATTTTTTTGAGACGGAGTCTCGCTCTGTCACCCAGGCTGGAGTGCAGTGGCATGATCATGATCTCGGCTCACTGCAAGTTCTGCCTTCCAGGTTCACCCCATTCTCTTGCCTCAGCCTCCCGAGTAGCTGGGACTACAGGCACCCGCCACCATGCCCAGGTAATTTTTTGTATTTTTAGTAGAGACGGGGTTTCACCGTGTTAGCCAGGATGGTCTTGATCTCCTGACCTCATGATCCGCCCGCCTCGGCCTCCCAAAGTGCTGGGATGACAGGCGTGAGCCACCGCACCCGGCTGCAACCATGTCTAAGCATGTCTCCTTTTGTCCAGGAGAAACACAGTGCCTTCAATGATTCCCCGGGAGAGGAGTTCTCTGTATCCTGATGCTCTGTCATCCTCTCGTGAATGGACTGCAGATTGTCCACATCTCTCCTAAACTATGCTGCCCGTATTTAAGTAAAGCTGGCCTAAGAAGCTCAGAGGGAGCCCTGGTTCACTTAATGCAATTCCTTCCCTTGGTGCAGCCGAAGAGGGCTGAGGTTGTTCTGGCAGCCTCCTCACCTGCTGTGGCTCATATAGAAACTGAGAGTCAGTGCAAACCCTCAGATGTTTTCCTGGATCTTTTCCATATGAAAAACGGCCAGTTTGTTGATGTGCATCTGACTTCTCCCTTTTAAATGCTGACTGTCAAGTTCAATCTTAATTTCTTTTGACTCGCTCAGCAATCCCATCTTAACTTTCACATCTCATTTTAGCTCTTTCCCCCAGTTTTCGGTTAAGCACAAACTTACCAATCAAGACATTGTGCTTTTTTTTTTTGAGATGGAGTCTAGCTTTGTTGCCAGAGTGGAGTGCAGTAGTTCAATCTCAGGTCATTGCAACCTCCACCTCCCAGGTTCAAGCGATTCTCGTGCCTCAGCCTCCCAAGTAGCTGAGATTACAGGTGTGTGCCACCATGCCTGGCTAATTTTTGTATTTTTAGTAGAGATGAGGTTTCACCATGTTGGTCAGGCTGGTCTTGAACTCCTGACCTCCAGTGATCTGCCCGCCTTGGCCTCCCAAAGTGCTGGGATTACAGGTGTGAGCCACTGTGCCCAGCCATTAGGTGTATTTCACCACAGTAAAAAACGATAAATTACAAAAAATGGTGACGTGCCAGGGACAATGCCGTGTGCAGCTCGTTGTCTGGCCCTGTCTCCAGGGTGCCCTGCTCTAGGACGTCAGGCCCGGAATCCCAGGAAGCAGGGGAGGAGAGGGAGGTACCTCTTCATTCCAGGCCCAGGATACAGCCCAGCTCTGCCGTGGTTGCGCACAGTGACGATCTATCTCTGCCTCTCAGGCCAGGAACATGTGAGTAAGCTTTGACTCATATCTGTCTTTTCTCCAATTGCCTAATCTTGCCTGGTCTTAATTAAAAATGTCTCCTTCCCTTTCTTACACTCACTCATTCCTCCACAGGTTTTCACCGAGACCCACAAAGCGCAGTCACTGACCCTGTGCCCAGACACCTTGGTGAGCAGGGACAGCCTGGTCGCACTGTTAAAGGAAAGGGGTCCCGATCCAGACCCCAAGAGAGGGTTCTTGGATCTTGCTCAAGAAAGAATTCAGGGCGAGTCTGCAGTGCAAAGCAAAAGCAAGTTTATTAAGAAAGTCAAGTGGTGAAAGAACAGCTACTCCCTGGACAGAGCAGGGCGTTCCCAAAAGTAAGAGGAGGAATGCGTCCACCCTAAGTACAATGCTTGTATATATATAGGATTAAAAAAGATCATAGGGAGATGTGCTCTGCTACAGGGGTTTGTCATAAAGGATTCCTTTTTTAAATTACCACATTTTGCAAGAATCAATGTTATTATCTTTGAAGAAAAATTAGGAATGCCTTTGTTCTCAAGATATCGGGATATCTGGACACTCCCAAGTTTGGGTTTGTTTAGTAAACATTATTAATTCACTTCCTTAACTGTAAACGTCTAGAGGTTGGGAATACCTTTCTGGGAATGCAGCCCAGATTCTGGGAATGCAAGTCCCAACTGCATTTTCCTAGCCCTCACTCCAAGATGGAGTTGCTCTGGTTCAAACACCTCTGACACCCCCTCTACAAGCTCCCGGGATGTTTAAACAAGCCATTCCCAGAGAGGCGATGCAGAGGTGCAGGGCAGGCCCTGAGCCCTGGCCACAGGCGATGCTTAAGCTGAGCGCTGAAAGGAGGGGTAGGAGTTCAGCAGGCGAGTTGTTAGAAGACTTGCATTTCAAGCAGAAGATCTGGAAAGACGCGCTGACCGATCAGCGAAAGGCCGTGAGCTGTGGGTGGTGCGGAGACTGCGGAAGCTGAGGACGTGGAGCTAAGGCGGGCTCAGACTTCCTCCTGAGGGCAACAGTTTTTAGCTGGGGAGGAACATGACCAAATCTGCCTTTCCCAGTGACCTCTCTGATCTCTTTGATGCAGTGTAGATCCGTGCTTAGCAAACTCAGAAGGACCTGTCACCAGCAGGAAGGAAGAGACCCCACGACTGAGGGTAGTGGTAGGTTTAGGGGCCGGCCACAGGTGGGACCGAAAGGGGTAGCTGTGGATGGGCTGTAGGGATGAGAGGGGAGGAGGAATGGAGGGTTGATGATGCCTTCTATCGGGAGGGGAACATGCTAGAAGCAGTTTTGGGGGGAGGTGGGAAGGGTGGGTAAGCAGATGAAGGATTGGGTCTTGGAGATGCTGCTAGTTTGGCTTTGACGGTGCAGGTCCTCTGCTATGAGGTGAGTGGCTGTGCCCGCCAGCTCCTCTTCTCACTCCCTTCTAGGGCTATGAGATTTGTGACCCTTTCCTCTGCCTGCCTCTGCCCCTGCCCCTTGGGACCCTGCTGGACCAGGCATCCATCCTATGGAACTTTCCATGAAGCGTTGACCTCCCTGCCCCTGAGGCATTGGGTGAGTGGCAGGTGAGAGCTGCTCACAGGGCATTAAAGGGGTTCAAAATAGCACCCAAGGCCGGGTATGGTAGTTTACACCTGTAATCCCAGTACTTTGGGAGGCTGAGGCGGGCAGATCACCTAAGGTCAGGAGCTCAAGACCAGCCTGGCCAACATGGAGAAACCCCTTTTCTACTAAAAATACAAAAAATCTCCGGGCGTGGTGGTGCGGGCACCTGTAATCCCAGCTACTTGGGAGGCTGAGGCAGGAGAATCGCTTGAACCCGGGAGGCAGAAGTTACAGTGAGCAAGATCGCACTATTGCACTCCAGCCTGGGCAAAAAGAGCGAGACTCCATCTCAAAAAAAAAAAAAAAAAAAAAAAATTGCACCTAAGCCCAAGCCCAGAAGGTGGCCCTGAAACTGGGCCTTCCTTTGAAGCTAGGCCTGGTATTTGCCATGATTGTGCCTCCTTCCCCACGTCACCAACGTTGACTGCCCTCCATTACCCGGTGCTGCCTGGGCGCTGCGTGGGTGCTGGCGTGTGAAATGGCAACGTGAGGCCGTGTCTACTGAGCCAGGCATCTTAGTGCTTTACACAGAGAAGTGAAACCTCCTAGCTACCCTGTGAGTTAGGGACCATTAATTCCCATTTTTCAGATAAGGAAACAACCAAGGCATTAGTAGAGATGAGGTTTCACCATGTTGGTCAGGCTGGTCTTGAACTCCTGACCTCCAGTGATCTGCCCGCCTCAGCCTCCCAAGTAGCTGAGATTACAGGTGTGTGCCACCATGCCTGGCTAATTTTTGTATTTTTAGTAGAGATGAGGTTTCACCATGTTGG